AATGAAAGTACTTTCGAGTACTGTCCCATCGTGTTATACGCAGTACCGATGTTGTTGTATGAAGCAGCCAACGAAGGATGATTTGAAGGAAGAGTATTTTGAAAAATTTCAAGTGCTTTTTCATAAAATAAAACTGCTGCAGAGTGCTCTCCCATGTGGTTATATACATTACCAATGTTGTTGTATGAAGTAGCCACATCAGAATGTTTTGAAGGAAGGGTTTTTTGAAAAATTTCAAGTGCTTTTTCGTAATATGAAATCGCTTTCGAGTACTCTCTCATTTTGTCATACACACTACCGATGTTACTGTATGAAGTAGCCAACGAAGGATGATTGGAAGGAAGAGTTTTTTGTTCAATTTCAAGTCCTTGTTCGTGATACCAAATAGCCTTTTCATAATCACCCTGTTCATCTTTCACATATCCCAGCCGATTGTAATAATATTGCTTTTCATCTTTATGAGATGTTTGTTCGAGTAATACATTATAAAATTCTTCAGCTTTATTAAATTGACCAATTTTCAGTAATAAGTCACCCAATCTCTGCCATCCAGTACCACCAACTTCTTCTCTTATCCGATCTGTAAACAATCGTAGTTGTTGATCATCGTCCGATGTTAATTGTAGTTCAACTTGATAAAGTTGATTGGTTATATCCAGCTCTTTAATTGCACCTACACGAAAAACGGTGTGCATGGAGAAGAGAATTTCATTTTCTTTTTTAAAGTAACTCTTCTCTTTGATGGAGGCAAGTGATGCTGGTTTTATACACGGATCAATGGACATTATAAATAAAATGCCAATCATATCCGCGTTTTCTGACGCACTTAAAGCAAATCCAAAAGCTATCTCTTGTTCGATACTAGTGGATAAAAAGTTATTGAAAGATATTAAACCACCTTCTGTTTTTTTGAGTTTCTCGAAATTTGTTTTGGATAGACCTTGTCCCCGGTAAACTATGAATGGTTTGTCATGATAGCTATCAACCTGCTGTTGGTGTAGATGTTGTATTTGTTGATGAAGATCATGAATAAAAAAACCCATATTAATAATGGTATCGCCTTCCATAGAGCGAAGAGCATAATTCAGCATAGAATAGATAAATGATGGATAAGTATACCACCAAATAGCAGATTGAGCATGATATTCCTTTTCAAATCGATCAATATTGATTGCCGATCCGGATTTATTTTGTCGACAGTATGAAGTAAATTGTTTGATCGCTTGTTCATCATGTTCCATATCAAGAAGAATATTCTTGAATATTTGGGTGTACATATAAGTTGGTTCCAACTGATTTAAATCATCAGTTGAAGCCATTTCATTTACGGGGACGAAACTCATAGCAATTGAGTCTCGATTGTATCGCTTGACATCCAGTTGTAACGCTTGACTCAAGTCTTCGGTGTTGGTATGAACGCTTTTAATTTTTCGCCAGTTTTTTGTCCACTCGTCATCTAAGAATTTATTGTTACTGAAGATATAAACACCATCCAGCTGAGGAATATCATTGATGAGAGGTATAATTTGTTGTGCGACATTGTTTTCGACAACGAGAAAAGATTTGATGTCTTCACTATCGAAAAGGAAGTCGATGCATTCATCTCTCTGTGTAAAGACGCTGATATTGTCGGCACCGGTTAGCATTTGTGTCAAAGAATGTTTGTAATCTTTGTTTGTTTCGTCCATAGACTCGTCTAACCAAATGAGTAAATGATCTTGTACGATACGTCTTCGCCGTTCGATACTATCAGCTTTTGTGTCCATTTCGTGCGTGATACGACAATACAACGATAGTTTTATGAGTTTTTTGATTGAATCGATAAAGGTGGAGGAGATGAATAAGGTTTATTATATATATATATGAGAATCAGATCTCTTCATCTCGATATTTTTATGACATCATTAACTATTTTTTATGTTTATTACTATTACTTATAATAAAATTCTGTCCCGTGTATCACTCAGGTTATATCGTAAAGCCAGGTGAGTAGAAAGAAGAAAAAAAGTATTCGTTTTTTCCAACTTTCTCAAGAGACAATAGATAATATAGTCATTAACAAAAAAACAAATTTGCTTTATAAATAATGCACGTCGAAAGTCTCACAGTATTGTTTTTTGTGTTTGAATGGTATATTGAAATTATACAAGGATACAAATTTAATGATACATTTCTCTTATGCTCAATCTAGTACATATATTATCAGATAAAAGAGTAAATAATAATGAATATTAAACTCATTATTTGATAAATCAGCAAACGGACTATCGTTTATCTGTTTAAAAAAATCTCGGGCTTTGCTAAAAAATGAACAGGTCGTCTTTCTGTTCTTGAAACGGCCATTCACTACATTCAAATGAATGACTCATTAGAAAAGGATGGAAGATAACATAAATAAGTCATCAAAATCTTTCTTTCTTATTTTCCATTTAATTAATTCATTTTTCTGTATTACATAATTTGATTCTATTTTTGTATAATCCGATAGAAACAACTCATATGAGTACTCACGCTGGCAAGTCGTACTCGCTTGATGAGTACTTTCACTAGGATTAAATGAACAATCACTGGTAATTAAATTAGATGCAGCTTCTAGCATAATTGTTTTTGCAATCGGTTTCTTGAATGATTTTCCATAATCGTAATTCTCGTAAAGTAAAATTTGGAATTTATTTTCGATTATTTCTACTTTGACGACCAGCATATTAATTATTAAATTCTGGCTTGTAATATATATGTATATGAATACATTGATCAATCGTAATATTCTTTAATTTAAATGTTTAGTATTTGAACTTATAGGGTGTGGATGTAGAAATGGGCGGAATATAAAGATAACACTCTCTCCCATCTTACGCACACCTACATCCACATCCTCAAAACTTGTTGACTACTTTATGTAAATATTAATTGTTAAATAAAAATAATTGTTTACAACAGTGTTACAAGATACATGATTACAATAAACAAAGAAACTCATAATGGTACAACATTCAATAGGTAGTTTGGTATTACGAGTAGTTTGTATTAATAATTATAAACAACATATTAACCCTTGATAATGTGTCTAACTTCAAATCGAAATTTTTTAGACACGAGAAAATTGGTATAGAAGCCAACACAAAATGGGATATAAGAACTGAAAATAGCAACAGTCATAAGTAAGGTTGCGAGTTCAAGTTCAGCAAAACTAGATGATTGAGTTTGAACTATTTGTAAGTACATAAGAGCAGGTGGCATCAGTGCACTGAAGATAATATATATACTAATATCAATAATTAAAACATGAATAAGTTGACTATCTTTTGAATGAGTAGGACGCACAGCAACAATAGCTGTGCTGACAGTAGTAAGAATGATCTGACGTCTTTTTCGAAGATTTCTCACAGTCCACACTCCCAAAATAGTCATCAATAAAGGAATAAGAATATCTTGGATTAAAATTATATAATAGTTTATGAATGCTACATAGAATCCAGGGTGGAAAGAGCAAATGATAATATTTGGTAGCGGTTCTATAATATGCGTCAGAAATAATGCATGAATATGAACTAATAACCAAAATAATGTTACACCTATGATGGATATATAAGTTAGACGTAAAGTGCTTCGCTGTCTTGTTAAAGCATTTGGTGAAGTGATTAATATTCGATCAATTGATGCCAATATTAAATAAGATGGACTTAAAATAGTAGACAAAAGCAGTGTATAATAACGAAAATGACAGAAACTCAGACTATATAAAGTAGGATCAATATTATAGCCAATTGATAGTATCGCTAATAACATAGTTGTATAAATCTGTAGAAGATTACCAATATTATATGCCACCAAATATATTGCACATGGATTTTTACGTAGATTCTTTTTTGTAAAAACAATCAAATTTAGTACGCAACTTACAGTACCCAGAATCATCAAAATTGGTCCACCGTATTTATATAAATTTGTTTGTATTGATATTAATGATGAAATGTAATCTATTTCTGAAGACATTTTAATTGATTTATCTAAAAGAAAAAAAACATTCAATATAAGAGATATTATGTTAAAACCAACTAACTTCAAAATTCTCTCCTGAAATATTTTACACCAATATTCGAATTAAATATTCTATTACAATTTATGCCGTTGTTTATCACACATTGGAATAATGTTCTCACAGGTCAATTACAACAAAGATAAACTAAAAAATCTTATTAATAGATTATAACGCAAAGAAAACGACGAATTATACTGTCTATTTATATATTATGCTCGTGATTAACTCTGTTTATGCGATAAAAATTTTGTTTATAGTATCTCAAGTAGAAATATAAAAGAATGAAAAAAGCGTTCCCATTTATATGAAAAGAAAAAAATTCATTTATCAACAAGACTGTAAGTACTCTTTGTGTTCTCAAAGGAAACCACTTGAGAGATAATAATTAAAATTTTATACAAATTTTTTTTAGCTAATAATATATACGAAGGGAATGACGCTGCATCTTAGGTAGGGGTAGGACAGTTCATAGTTCCAAGTTCGGATGAACTGGTCAACTGAACTATCAGTTCAGTTCTTCTGAAAGGAACTGAACTGAACCAACAGTTCTTTGAATAGAACTGAACTGTATCAACAGTTCTTTCAGAAGAACTGATCTGTTTCAACAGTTCTTTTAAAAGAACTGTTTTGTTTCAAATTTGTTTTTATTTCCAAAAAAATAGTTTTCACAACAGTTCCCTGAAAAGAACTGAACTGAAATAACACTTCTTTGAAAGGAACTGAACTTGTCGGTTCAGTTCAGTTCTATTCAAAAGAACTGTTAATACAGTTCCTAAGAACGGAACTAATATGGAACTGTCCTACCCCTAATCTTAGGCACGGCTTAAACGAATGAGTTTATTAGATTGAGGATTGTTTTATTTTTACGACTTATAGCATGGACTGAGAGGACAGAAATAAGGACCTTCCCATGACAAATAGTTCTGTTTTGTGAGGATTTCTACAGACGAATTAAATGATACAAGTAAAACGGCACAGACTCTGATAAACCATCCACTCAAAGAAGGCTTACTTGGTAGAACAAAAATGTTCGGTTATAAAGTTTCGAGTTTCTTCCATCTATCTTTATTTAATACTAATCTATATTTTACAATATTAACATTTTTAAATATGTCGAATTTCACTACATTAATAATAAAAGAAACCATGGCTG